ATTAATTACTTAATTATATAATTTTTTTTGGAGGATTGAACCACACAATATTTTACAGTCTCACTCTGAACTATCTTTGCCTCGTCAGGAAAAAAAGTCAAATTATCTGATCTTTTAAGAGACTTGTCGACCTTGACACACAGTCATGAGTGTCTTTTAAGACAAAAGTTGAGTTTTTTATTTTTATTTGAAGTGTATTTTTGAATAAATGATGCCAACACCTTTTGAATTTTTCACAGTGCACAGCAACAGACACTTGTTGAAGAAGTTTCACAGCCACCTACGGACAAAGATTGAATCAGGGGAGGGTACGCTGCCCTTGAAGTCCACAGGTCCCTTTCAGACGTGGGACGGAGTCCTTCAAGGAGAACATCTCATCACCATGTCATGCACCGACAAGATTTCCAGGTCAGGATCAAAAACACAGCAACATTCACATGTACAAAGAAAACAAAGTAATCAAACACGAGTCTCAGCTTTGTTTCTGGACGTTCCCGCTATGAGAAGACAGTAAATGAACCATCTGATCCCATGTGTGAAATAAAGTGTTTTGAATTAAAGTCCACATTTATGCCAGTTCCTATTTTACTGATATTTGGAACTGATTTCACCTTGCTACAGTTTGTAGAAAACATTTAAATGCAGATTTAGCATTCAATTTTGACACTATATAATGTGTTTGTATTTTTATTTATTCATTTTATTTAGATTTTTTTAATGTAATATATATTTGATTTGTGTTTTTTTACCTTTTTTCCTCCGAGAGTAGGCTGACCATCCCTAAAGCATGATTTGTGAAGTGCTGGACAGTGTATTGATTTAAGGTTTACCTTTATTAGAGGATTAGTTTTTATGAGGAAGAAATAGCTTCGTTTAAATAGGCCGAGTTTTATATGCCATTATAATGGCTGAGGGAAAGGTTGGCGTGATATTTGCCTTGAAGGAAGGGAGTTATCCAAACCGATGGTGTTTGGGACTGGAATGATCACCTTTATTGTCTTATGATGATGCCTGTGCTTTGATTGATAATCCTTCAATAATTAGCTTCTGTATGGGACATGTCACACTGTTAATCTGTGTCCTCATGGACGTTCTCTATTTTTATATGTACCTGCATTTTACATGTAGACTGCAGCTTTGTTTTCATTATTTATTTATATATATATATATATATATATATATATATA